CATCCCATTGAAGTTTCTTAAAGGACAGGAAAGTTGTCTGCTTGGTAGGACTGAACCTCTTCCCTCTGCCAGGATGCAAGGCAGATTTTATAATCAAATCTCTCATTCACGTTAACCATCACAAATGGTTAAGGATGTCCTCGTGAGACTGCTTTTTTCTTAACCCATTAAAACTTTAGAGATAACTTATCCTAAAATTATCCTTTACAGATTTCAAATGAGCTCACATGTGCTAAAGCAAAAAGAGGATCACACTATTGCCACCATATAGAATAATCAAGAAAAACAAACAAATTTGGGGTCTCCCAAATTTGGAATCTAAGCTGTGCCACAAATTAGTTATATGGCTTTGAGTAAGCCATTGAACTCTCTGGGCTTCAGTCTCTCCAACAAGGCTAGGTTGGGATAGGTTATGTCTAAAGTCCCTTCCGTTTTTTTTTTTGTTTTGTTTTTTGGGGTTTTTTTGCTCAGAAAAAATAATAATTTATTTCAAAAGATTACTGCTCATTGACAATATACCTGATGACCCAAGAGCTCTGATGGAGATGTACAATGAGGTTAATGTTGTTTCCATTCCTGTTAACACAACATCCATTCTGCATCCTATGGATCAAGGAGTAGCTTTGTCAAAAAGTATTTTTGAAGATATTTTTATTTCTAGTATAGGTTACATCTTGGCTTATTATTTTCTCTGAGTTAATTCATTAAAAAATTCTTTTATTTGCTTTAAACTTAAATATCCCCAAACTTCAAAGGAATTCTCGTAGGTAAATTTTGGTCTATAATTCAGTCCATGAAGTACTAAGTGCCTTTATCTAGACAGTGGTTTTCAGTTCTGAATATACATTAGATTCACCCACAGAGTTTTTTGTTGTTGTTAACACCTGAGGGTATTTTTCCATTGATTTTTAGAGAGAGTGGAAGAGAAAGGGAGTGGGGGGGGGGAGAGAGAGAGAGAGAGAAACATTGATGTGAGAGGGACACATCAATTGGTTGCCTCCCACACACACCCTGACCAGGGCCAGGGATCGGCTGGGGATCGAGCCTGCAAATGAGGTACGTGCTCTTGATCCCAGGACCCTTCAGTCTGCAGGCTGACCCTCTATCCACTGAGCAAAATTGGCTAGGGCCCAGAGAGCTTTTAAAATATACTGAAACTTAGGTCCCATCCAACCAATCAGATTTGACCTCAAACACTTGTGTATTAGTTAGCTTTTGCTATATAATGCCACTCTAAACCATAGTGACTTAAAAGAAATACCATAGGTATAGCTTACAATCCTCTTGGTTGTCAGTGTGGGCTAGTCTTAACTGGATGGTTCTTCTGGTCTTGGCTGGGCTCACTGGTCCATCTGCAGTGAGCTCCCCAGATGCCTGGGGACTGGCCAGTCTCAGATGGCTTTTGTTTGGACAGCCCTTCAGGCCTAGGCATGGAACTGGTACAGTCCCTTCTGCCATATCCCATTGACCAATGAAAACCACAATAGGCCCAGCACCAATTCACAGATGCATGAGTAGAAAGAGACTCCACCCTTAATGGGAAGAACTGCCCAATCACATTGCTATAGTGAATTAACTATGGCCATTTTTTTTTTTGCAAACTATGTAATTTCTATTTTTGAAAGCTCTCCTAGAGACTCTAGTGTCCAGTAAATTTGTAAAACACCAGTGAATTCAGGCATTTGAAACACCACTGAATTAAAGACATTTGAAAGAGTTGGCACAGATAAGGACTGGGATTGTGGGGGGAAATGGAGAAAAAGTAGGCTTT